AACTTGTATATTATAAGGAATTTGAATGTGTCTTCTCATAACCATAGTATAATTATTAGTATTAAATGAATAATTTTAAATTTAAGCAAAAAATTATAATATTGTAATTCAATATTCAACTTAAACATTTTAAGATGTAATAGATTACAAATAATGAACAAATTAAAAATGACTAGCTACTAATAAATAATATATATGTAGTACTTTTTGAATTTATTTATTCTATTTTATAGTATGCTAATTAAGGTGTCATCATATTGATTTAACAAACTATAACAACTTTAACACAATTATGATTGTTGAAAATTGATTAATTGAAAATTAATGTTTAATAATATCTTAGACACATGGTTAAAATATATTACAATATTTAGTTAGTTAGAAACTAACTCATTATTTGGGAAGTTTTTTTTAAACATAATTGCATTATGTTAATTTAATTTAAATCATCAGTTATTGTACAAGTAGATCATAAAATAGAATTGTTTATTGTACTTCTTATCTTCTTATCTTATTAGTTTATCAAAAAAAAGCATGGTTTAATTTATAATACTTATTATAATAAATAATACAGTCTCGTAAGTTATGCCACTAAATTATTTATATTTAAGAAAATATAAAAAAGCAACTAAAGGGAAAAATAACTTTTAATTATGAAACTGGAGCTTATAATTAATATAAAAGTGATTATTAACTTTTAAATTAATTGTACACATTTTTAGCTTTGTTTTCTGTATCCTCATTGTTGGTAGGATTATCATTATGGACTACCACTACATTGATTCTACGTCTAAGTCTCCAGTTTTGTTTCCCACATTTGCATTGTTTTCATCAACTTCTTTTTTAACGTATGGAATTTTTTGATCAGCTTCTTCCTGTTTAAGTATGGTTGTATCTTCTTTATTTTCTTCTTTTTCCTCGTCAGAGGTTTCTTCTTGTGCAGGCTCAGGTTTTATTTTCAATTTGGCTTCATTTACGGTCTCATATTTCTGAGAGTTTTCAGTATCTTTTTCTTGTTTAATATCTGCAGATCCTTCAGTGGGGACATAGTCATTAAACATCATATCCATGTCGACAGTGCCTTTGTTGTTATCTTTTTGATGTTCGTCTATGTCCATAGACTCTGCTTGATGATTATTTTCTTGAGTCTTGGATGGTTTCGGTTTCATAACTTTAGTTGTAACCATACAAGAATCTTCAGTTTCTCTTTCCTAAAAATAAAATAATTAAGACATGATAATTAATTGTTAAAATAGTTAATTTTTTATTTACTCCAGTTGAAGTTGACGAAGTTGGCTGATTATGGTCTTTCTGAATATGCTCAAGGAAATTAACTTGACAATCAAAGGTTTTAGAACATACCTTACATCTATAAAGTTGTTCCTTCTGTTGAGGTACATAAATAAAATTAAATATTTTATATAATAAAATTTATATAAATTAAGAGATCAAATCAAAATTGTGTATCATATTATTAACTGTATTCATAATAATAGTAAATGAGTTACATAATATTATATTATTGAAAGAAATTCTTTTAAAATTAAAAATCATTTAAATTTTAAAATTTTAAAATTAAAACATGAGTACTTTTTTTTTTAAATTATGATTTTATGGAATAAAATGATAAACAAATACAATTATTTGAGTGTAGTTAACTGAGCATTATCATATATTATTATTGAAAGGTTTGAAGTATAAAAGTAGTAATGAAAGTGTATACAACTAAATTAAAATATGAACGGCAAATATATTTATGGTCTTATACTGAATTTATATAATAAATTTATATATTTTTTCTTATTCTTACCGTTGTTAATGCATTTCCCACTGTTTGATTAAGAATAGTTTTTTTAGGCTCCTTATTATTCTCATGGGTACGCAGGTGGAGTCTAAATTATAAGTATAAATAATAACTTTAATATAATATTAAATTATGTACATACCGAACAAGTATAAATAATAACTTTAATATAATATTAAATTATGTACATACCGAACATGCCCAAGATCTTTTGATTGGAATCCACAAAAAGCACATTTGTATTGTTTCATTTTGTTAGAGCTTTTTTGTTGACTTGGTGGTTGTTGTTGTTGTTGCTGATGCTGCTGCTGTTTTGTTTTTAAACATTTTAATGGAGTTTGGACTGGAGTAATAACTGCAGGAGTAGTTACAGTAGGAGAAACTCCTACTCTCAGACCACTAAGTACTTTAGGCTGTTCTAGTAGTTCCTCTGATTTTAAGTGTCTATTGACAATCTAATTAAAAGATAAAAAGATATATTTTTATACATTTTAATATTATGTAGCTTGTTTCTAATTAGATTCTATATTTACCTCATCATCCTTAATAGCCTGATAAGGAGGCAATATTCCATATTTCTTTTGTATTTGTGAAAACATTGCATTTTTAACAAGTTCCAGATCATATTCCAACTTGTCTATATGATTCAAAATTGTGGTACATTTTTTGCACATGTGATCAGCAGAAGTGACAATAACCACAACTTCATCACCCATAAATTCAGCAATTTTTTCTGGAATGGTACATTATTATATGATGTAATGCTTGAAGACACCTGTGTACATCCTCTGTTTAATTTTTGATCACATAGAAAACAGACACCCATTGTATCTAGAAAAAGTAATGTAATTTTCTAAGTTATAACTGATTATAGCTAGTCATAATATGCAAATCATGAGGAAAAAATGTACATAATTACATAAGTTATTTTATAATTTTTAGTTTAGATATTAGGTAAAGGAACAATTATAAGTTAATTCAACAACTTAGGAAATTAGGTAGGTAGGTACTTAATGCAAAACCAATCATTTTAGATTCTGAGCGGAGTTTATGAATGTATTGATTTTAGCATGAAGTTTTATTTTTTTTTTCACATTTATTTATGTCTGTGCAAACAAAATTGATTTATTTATTTAACTGAGGAAACGCTCTGAGTATACGTTTGGGCTGCCAGGTAAGCACCTGGGATTTATAGCAATCAATCCTTGAAATACATACAAAACGTGTTCTAACTACAACCGTTCCTTCCCCCTACAAACAAAAATATATAATAGCAATGGTTGCCAGGGTTAACTAAAAAAAAAAAATTTCAAAAAGCGGGTAAGTGGATGTCTCTTTACTGTGCAGTAGGTTATAAGTGGGACAATGTATAATGGATTGTATCAAAATTAAATTCAATGATATAATATCATTGTATAAGAAAAGCGATTCTGAGCGGAGACGGTTTGTCAGTCTGGATATTTTATATTGTTATTATATTTTATTATAGAATATAAGTTGAATATTATAAACTACAATAAAATAACTTAAGTTGTTATTTTTATTTCTATTCGTTTCTATAGTAATAAACAAAGAGTTAAAAATTAAAATCTCATTTTTAGTGGTTTTTCATAATTTCCTGTGGCATTATAGGTAATAACTATTGAGAAAATTGAAAAATGACCTCTCTAAAGTACCATCTTGATCCAATTTTCTAAAAAATAAGGTACTATATGTTGAAATCGAAGCACTCCTTCTGGTAGAAAATTTGTATACAGGATAAAAAAAAATAAACACCATTGTAAAACCACTAGCTTTCTCGCTCCCCTCAGAATCTAAAAATAATAAATGAATAAGTTTATAGTAGAAAATATTAGCCGCTGAATAATAATAAAAAAAATTATCCTTACACAGTTCTGTTTTGTACTAAAGTACGATTTTTTAGGAGTTTTAATTATAAATAAAAATTGAATAGACAATTTTGTATTTTCGGACTTTTTGTCAGACAGTAAAAATGTGCACGGACTTTTAGTTTGATAATAAAAAAAAATGAAGGTATAAATCAACAGTGTTGTAAAAAATACTTTTTAAAAGTATTTAAGTAATTATTCAAATACTCTTAAAATAAAGTATTTAAAATACTACCCAAAGACTATAAATAGTAAAGTATTTGAGTAATACTCAAATAATCTTCAAATACAAAAATTTCTTTTTACTTTTTACTTTTTAGTTCTGAAATAATTTTTTATGATCAAAAATGTGTTTATTGCATTTTAAAAACATGATTCGTTCAATAATCAAAATACTGATTAGTCGTGTTAGTTGAACCACAACAATGAACTTTTCTCTACAGAGTTATTATATATTAATTTAAAGCTATATTATGTATTTAGATATCTCATAAAGTCATCAATCGTCGTCGACGATAAATTTTCTTGGTAAATATAGGTATTAGCCACTAGTCAATAGATACTAGGTACTAATAATTTTTAAGAATATTTTTATATAGTTAAATAATTATAAGCTATAAAGTATAATAGCCGTTAAGTAGATGCTTTTTATATATATATTTTGTTATTCACTTAAGCTAATAGTGATACCGACTACAGATGTATCTTTTCGATAATTGTCGACAATAAACTGTCTCCTAGAAAAAAAAAAACTTTATCGACAAAAACTGATACCAATTTGTCTGTAATGTATAAATGATAAATATATAATATAATATTATTATAATGTTAAAGCCAAACCACGATGGCATGGTATTTTTATTTAACAAAAATAATTATAAGCAGAAACAAATTAAGAATAAAAAAAATTAAATAAAAGTATTCAATAAAATAGTATTCATTAGTAAAAAAAGTATTTAAAATACCATTCAAATACTTCAAAATAAAAACTATTTAAAAAAGTATTTAATACCGAAAAAAGTATTTGAATACTTTTACTCAAATACTTTACAACACTGTAAACCTAGAAAACACACATTTAAATAAAAAAAAATTAGTCAAAAAAGTAATTTTTTATTATCATCAATTGTTTTCCGGTTTTTTTTTGTAGGTATAACTTTCGTAATAAAAAAGAGCGACAATTTTTTCAAACATAATATTCGAATTCAGTGCCTTAAAACGAACATTTTGAAAAAAAAAAAAAAATTAAAAACGATCTACCTAGGGCCGTAAACTAGGATTTGTTCCATAATTACTTGTGATGAATGTCCAAGTGAAAAATAAAAGTAGGCCGATGGTTTTCGGCGTTTTAAACAAAATAACGACCTGTTATTATGTGAACCGCGAGAAACAATTCCACGTCGCAGCCGGCCTAAAAAAAAGCAAAGCCAAACACCTAATCACGGGCGTTCGAACTATGTGCCATTACGTGCAACAAACAAGATCATCATTCAGATCATTCAGATCATCATTGCGACCACCGTTAAAAGTTAAAATGTTAAACGAGTGACTAGACACGACGGGGAAAACGAACAACGACCGCTGCAGTCATCGAACGTTAACAAAAAAAAAAAAACAGAAGAATCAAATAACGAAACGTTGGCCGTTACGATTGATGAAACAGAATATTGTTGTTACCTACTTTGTAGTTTCAGGTCTTTGTACGCATCGCAAGCGCGACCACTACAGAAGTATTCTCCGTTAATATTAATATTAATCCGTGGTTTACCCTATGCGTTTACCATGTGAGCTTACCACAGGGTAACCACCAAATAACCATTATTATCATTATTATCATTTTTCGAACAACCGCCAGCCAAAAATATAATATCTATGTCGCCAGCCATCCAAAAGTTTATAGATTATAATCTATAAACCTCGCAGCCATCCAGTCTTCTTATCATACATTATCAATATTACAATATTGTGAGTTGTGACGATATTATTGTAAATATTATATTATATCGTTACTCTGCTAGTTCAAACTTACAATTTTTAACCTTCATTCGTATAATCGTATTTATTTACTAAAATCATTAACTTTGCTACGTGACTACTAGAACTCCAAACAAAAGTTTACAGAGCGGATCTGAGATAAACTTACTGCTTTACTACTGTTGGAAGTACAAAATGACATGGCTGAGTGCTCGAGTATGTACTCTAATTATTATTTTCCATTAGAAATTAATTTTCATCGGATCATACAGTATTTGTTTGCAGATACAAAATATCCATGCAGTCAGAACAAGAACTTGTTGAATACTGTAATTCTGCATTAGATATTAAATCTCAAGTTCATAAACAGTTCTTAATAGATTTAAAAAAAATCATTCAATTTGTAAGTATAATTACATTTTTAGATTCTGAGCGGAGCGATGAATGTATTGGTTTTACAATGATGTGTGTTTTTTTTTTATTTTTTTTTTTTTTTGTGTCTGTCATCAAAAGGTACAAGTTGAGTAACGGTCATCAAAATATAAATATCGTTTCGATGTCACATGATGGCTATAGTATTTCGGATGTACATCCATAGTATTACTGCAATTTTATTGCAAAAGCAGGTCCGTGTCTCACCTAGTCACCTGATTCTACTTTGTGATTCTATCCCGTTATCCTGCTTTCTGGGTGACTATCTCATGATTACTATTGTAGATTCTGAGCGGAGCGATGAATGTATTGGTTTTACAATGATGTATGTTTTTTTTTTTTTAAATTTTTTTAATTTTTAATTTTTTTTTTTGTGTCTGTCATCACGTTTTGGGACAGTAAAAGTGCTTAGATTTTCTTCAATAGTACCTTTTCTGATAGGAAAGTGAATCTAGTTGGTACTTTGGGGGGGGTAAAAAGTAAACATTTCCCAGTAGTTTTCACAAGCGCCGGGAAAAACAACATAAAAATTAAGGAAAAACGGAAATTTTTACGCAAAATTGGTTTTCCAAAAAATCGATTTTGGTTTTTGGTGTAACTCTAAAACAAATGAACGTATATACATGAAATTGTTACTGGTTGTTTATATTTGCATTTTCTATACACGATAACATTTTCAAAATATTTTGATTTATTTTGAACTGTTTAGGGACATTTTCATTTTTCATTTTTTTTTAGTTTTTTTTCTAGAAATATCAATAAAATTTTATTTGTAGGTTAAAAAAGCTTGAAAATTTAATAGAAGGCTCCTAATATATTGTTTCAAAGGCAGATGAAAAATATTAAAAATCCTTTGTCACAATTTTTTTTATAAGCATTTAAAGTTCAAAAATTGTAAAAATATGGAAAAATCACGAAAATTAGCGAATTATTTTGAGTTAAGAATTCGTAAAAATTTTTCTTTTTAAATCGAAGATTTGAAAATGTAATACAAGATTACTCATAAGTTTGTCTACCTTTATCAATAAAAAAATCTCTACCGGAAAGTCAAATTAAATTTTTATGAGCGTTTGAAATTCAAATTTTTACAACATTGGATGTTCACTCGATTTCTCATGTAGTGATTTCCTTATTTTGTTGTAATTCAAAAACGAATAACTGTAGATACATGAAAATTTCACTGAATGTTTATATTAGCATTTCCTATACACCATACAATTTTGAAAATATTTCGACTCTTTTTGAGCTGTTTATGGACATTTACAGCTTTCAATTTTTTTTAGTTTTTTTTTCTATAAATATCAATAAAGTTTTATCTGTTGGGCCAAAAAGTGTAAAAATTTAATACAAGGCTCCTGATATATTGTTACAATATCAGTTGAAAAATATTAAAAATACATAGGCACAGTTTTTTTTTATAA